CTAATGTTAGTAATACGGCCGGTCCATTATGAGTTCTAGGTAGAGACCACATCTTATTCCTTTTTCTTTTTAGTTTTCAGTGTCTAGTACACAGTTTGTGCACATTTTTGCTGTCTGAATGAGCTGCTTCCATCTTAAAGGCAATATTAAGGTCAGAGGAGTGATTTTGAACATCCCTGTCCCCATCAAAGAAAATGCATTGGGAGAAGAATTAGGCGGTGGTTCAAACTCTCTCGAACGAGTTTTTAATGTGCTCTGGATGCTTAAAAGGTATCTCAGAGTGTATTAAATCATGAAATCCAAAAATGCCTCCAAATTATTATCTCAAAGTATCTTCAAATTATTCTCAAAAAGCCTCTTTTAAATTCTATGAGGGGCAGGGAAAAATATTGTTAATTAATCTTTTAATTAATGCTTATCATAAGCAATATATCAGTCCTAGGGAAAATTTACGAGGCAGCAATGCTGTATTTTTAATGTGCTGCCTGTACATTTTATGGTTCATTGGAGCCCTTTGTGTCATCAATATGATTGGTACATTTATGTACATTTGTAAAACACTTTGGAGCATACTTTTACTATTTTAAGTGATTATAAAGGTTTATAGTTCTTTGCTCTTATGACATCTCCAGCCATATCTGTGGTTTTTGGTGCCAAGTCCTTACTTCAGAATGTAACCTCCAACTGCAGCATGATTTTTATGGAGAAAATATGATCTGCTTTACAATGACTCACTTTAGGGGTTAGTTTCCAGGGGCAAAAAGTAGAGAAAAGTGATTAATTCTCTTTTAAAACTTAATTCCATCCCATCTCCTCTCTCTCACTTCCCTATTCCTCACTCTCTGCCCCATGCTGTCTCTGGGTGCAGGCTGAATTAACTGAAATAGGATGCATCTCAACCCATCCTAAAAGTGGGAGCTCTTTGTAAGTAGGGTTCCAGTTTTCTGTTACATTCATCTTGAGGTCCAGTTTCTATCAAAGTTTGTGCATGTAGTGGGCTTAGTAAATGTTGGATTTTAATTGATGGCCTGTTATATTATTAAATATTCCAGGCAAAGTCAATCCCTAAAAAAAGGATATATAATATTTACTAAGCATATATTACATATTTTGGCTATAATATATATAGCTAAAATATTTGTATAACAGGTACATAATGTATGTATGCATATAAATGCAATATATGTTATGGCTAAAACATGTTACTTTTTCCTTGCATATACATAAACTATCTCTGGAAGAATGCAAAAGAAATGAGTGGCATTGCTTGTCGGCGGGTGGGGTATGAGTGGCTGGGGGAGCCGGTGAGGGGAGTAGTCACTATATTCCGTTTAGACTTTTTATCTTAATTTCTGTTTTTTAAAAAAATTTTTTTTGGGAGGGGAGGTAATTAGGTTTATTTGGTTTTGTTTATTTATTTATTTTGATGAGGGGCTGGGGATTGAACCCAGGACCTCATATATGCAAAGCATGCTCTCTACCACTGAGCCATACCTTCCTCCCAGTTTAGACTTTTTGAATATGTGAATTGTTCATTCGTGTCTGTAAACCATATCTAGATATGCATTTTTTGTCATTGTTGATGCTTCTCTTCATAAAGCCATAGGCTGTGTTTTTCAAGGGTTCACATACAACTTCCCAGTTATATCATACACTCTACAAGTCTAGGATTATCATTCTCATTCCTTCTTTATACTCCAGGATCCCAACTAAATGTGATGCTTGCCTAGGTCCCCAGAGTTACTTGAGACATAAGCCACCACCTTAGTGTTCATCATTTTTTCAATCAGCAAACATTGGTAGAGCTTCTTCTAGAATCTGGGGAGCCGGCAATGGATATAAGGTGGAGCTTCTTTTAGAAGCTGGTGGAGCCAACAATGGATGTAAGGTGACATCTCCCTCCAAAGCAAGGGCAGAGGTGGGGGCAGGGGTGGGACAGACTTAGGTGCCACCATTTATTATAGTATGGCAAGAACCTAAAGGGGACATGAATACAGTGCCACAGGGGAGAAAAACTCAGAACACACACTTCACAGATGGGGCACTTTTGAGCTAATTCTTGACAAATGGACGATGCTCAGGTAGAAACAGCTTTCAGTGGAAGGGCGTGTTTCTTCCGGCTAGCTGGGAGGAATGGTTAAGAGCATGTGCATTTGACTGCTCTGGTTTTGAAGCCCAGCTCTGCCACTTACTAGCTATCTGCCTCTGGGCAAGTTATTAAGGTTGTTTTCTTAAATGTAAATAGGAAGAAGATAGTTCCTTCCATACAAGTTTGTTATAAACATTAAATAAGAGAATGCTTGCAAAGCACTTCAAAGCCTGGCACAAGGTAAGTGCTCAGCAAACCTTAGCTATAATTATTAAACTTACCTGGTACAGGAAGAAAAACATATCTTTTTTTCTCACTTTTTAAAGATTGAAGTATAGCTGATTTACAATACTGTGTTAGTTTCAGGTGTACAGCATATTGATTCAGTTATATATATATTTTTTCAGTTCTTTTCCATGATAGGTTATTACGAGATACTGAATATAGTTCCCTGTGCTACAAGTAAATTCTTGTTGTTTATCTATTTTATATATAGTACTGTATATCTGTTAATCTCAAACTTCTAATTTATCCCTTCTCCCAGCTTTCCCCTTTAGTAATCATAAATTTGTTTTCTATGTCTGTGATTCTGTTTGTAAATAAATTCATTTGTATTATTTTTAGATTCCACACATAAGTGATGTCATATGATATTTGTCTTTGTCTGTCTTACTTCACTTAGTATGATATTCTCTAGGTCTATCCAAATTGCTGCAAATGGCAATATTTCATTCTTTTTTGTGGCTGAATAATATTCCATTGTGTGTGTGTGTGTGTATACACATGTATGTGTGTGTGTATATATACACACACACACACACACACACATATATATACACACACACACATACACACACAAACACATAACTTCTTTATCCAGTCATCCAGTTAATGGATACTTAGGTTGCTTCCACGTCTTATCCACTGTTAATGGTGCTGCTGTGAACATTGGGGTGCATGTATCTCTTTGATTTAGAGTTTTTTCATCTTTTCCATATATATGTCCTGGAGGAGTATTGTTGGATCATAGGGTAACTCTATTTTTTGTTTTTTAAGGAAGCTTCATACTGTTTTCTATAGTGGCTGCACCAATTTACATTCCAACAGTGTAGGAGGGTTCCCTTTTCTTCACACCCTCTCCAGCATTTATTATTTGTAAACTTTTTGATGATGGCCATTCTGACTGGTGTGAGGTGATAGCTTATTGTAGTTTTGATTTGCATTAAGAAGAACACATCTTCAAGGACTGAGTCCCAGGTTAGAAATCTGGGGAGTCCCAGGCTCACTGACTCTCTGTGGCCCGATGAGTCCCCTTGTGTTCAGTGCCCTACAGTTCCAAGTAAAACCTTGCTGCCACAGGTGGATTTTTGGTTTCGAAAGTGGAGGGGAAAGCACTGATGAGTTAGTGGTGGAAACGAGAGTGGTCTTGGGGAATGGTCCTCAGTGTCGAAGCGTAGGGTTTGGGGACGTGGGGCATCCAGCAGGTGGGGGAAGCCTAGGAGCCTAGGCCTGAGTATGTGGTCGGAATAGTCAGAACACAGTCCTCAACAGCTGCAGAGACAGTGCAGTCTTTTGACCTGCAGGAGGCGACTGCTATTACAAAGGCCACGTTAGTCGTCAGAAGGGGAAAGGGGTGCTTTTTGTGGGAAGTGGGCCCCAGGGAAACGTTCTGACTAATCCTGGGCCCAGGCTTTCTTCTGAAGTGTCTGAGCTGTTTTACCGAGTAAGCTCCCAGTCCGGATAGAACTCGGATACAGGAATGCCTCGGACACAGTGACTGTTAGACCCATCCTGAGAGGTGAAGCAAGCTGTGAAATTCACTCTCCTGGGGCTCCCTGTGAAAGCAGGGAAGAACACTGCCTCATTCAGAATGAACTAGGTACAGTCCTACCTTAGGACAGAGGGGCAGACCTCCGGGTCTTGACCCTCACACCCTCCTACATGCGTTACCATCTCTGGGTCTAGGGGGCAGATCCAGGGCTCCGCTAAAAACAGCACAGAGAATGCGTCTACAAACTGTCCCCCAGTGGTTTGAGGGTTTACAACAACCTGGCGGTGCTCCATGGTAGAACACGGTGTGTTCGTCCCTGGAGTTAAAATGATTTGCCACATCAACCTGTGTGCAAAGTCCAGGAGAGACTGAGCACATGATGAATAGTAAGAATCATGGTAATTAGTAATAGCTGCAAAGAATGTATTTCTCAAAGGTTTTCAACAACGTTTGCCTCTGGAGTTTTGAAGCATCTCTGAATAGGAGTTAGGGCAGATATTCGCCCCACCCCCCGCCTCATTTTGCTGATAAGGAAACACTTCCTGATCAGGGACTTTTCCCATATCATGAGTTAGATGATGGTAAAACAAAGAATAGAAATACAACTTTTTGTTTTTAAATTATCCTTGGAGTTTGATTCATTTATCCAACCAGTATTTCTTGAGCACCTCCTGTGGCCAGGCACGGTGCTAGGCCCTGGGAGTGGACGAGTGAACACAGAGAGAGGTCCGTGGCCTCCTGGATCTTTGAGTGCCATCAGGAGGCCAGAACTACACAGAGAGAAATCAATCTAGAAATGCATGAACCATCCCTGCTGTGAAGGAAGAGGTGTCAGGAAAGAACTTCTGAAGCGCGGATTCTCTGAACCTGGAATTTCATTCAAGCCTCTGAGCTACTTGATTGTCAGGATTCTTCCCAGTGTGAGCTGTGGGCTCTGCACTGTCTCCTGCTGCACAGAGGCAGATCCTACCACCCCAGCTGTGCACTCTGAGTGTGTAAATGTTATCACAATGCCCTGGTGATGGGGGAAGAACAATGCTTCAGAGGTTAATGAAGTCATGGGAACCTCCAGTGCTGCGTCCCAGCCCCGCCCTGAAGCTGTCATTCGTCCATATCTGGCCAGCTTGTTTATCTTTGCAGATCTGCAGCCCTGTCCCTGTGGGTCCTGACAGGGCTCCTGTAGCTTTACTCACCTCTGGAGCAAGGAACAAGGTCACCTGGACTTGATCTTTCCCCTAGATGGAAGGCCCCCAAATGAAGTGCATCCACCGAAAACAGAAGTAAACATGGGGTCGGATAAACCTGGGTTTTGCGAATCAAGCTACCAGGAAGAGTGAATAAAAACCTTTAACAAATACCAACCAGTTAAGGCAGTTTGGAAGATCTTTGGGAATGAGAAGGGGAGAGTTGGGGAGCAGTGGTATAAAAACACTGGGAGTGGTACAGCAATTCTGACTTTCGCAGAGGGAGTGGGCAGCCCATAGATATGAAAGATCCGGTGATTAAATGAAAAGTTCTTACACGTGTTTAACTTCAATGCAGGGCATGGTCTGTGGCTCATGTGTATCGTATAATGAGGTTTCAGTAGCAGAAAATTGTAAGGCTGAGGCTGTGTTAATTTTTATTTGAGTTGAATGGGCTTCTTTGGGGAGACAGGGGTGCAGGTTTTGACAAGTGTAGGAGGGGTTGTGTGGGTAAACCAATTATTTCTTGAATTGAGAAAAACACTCATCGCCTGGTATGAACTCATTGTGTGTTTTAGCTTGCTCCTAGGGGCAGATATGTCATCTTAACCCTGTTTATGAGGCACAGCAGGCAAAATTACAGTACAAGGAGGATCACTATTCATTCACACATTTATTCACTCTCTGAGTAGTATAATAATTTTAGGAGTCAGGCTGCTGGGTTCGAATCCTGACTCCACTAAATAGCTGTGTGATCTTAGGCCAGTTACTTAATTTCCGTAAAAGCCTCAGATTCTTATTAATAAAATGGGATTAATAACTGCATCTCACGAGTTTGTTGAAAAGACTCAGTGAGGTGACGCATGTAAAAGCCCGAGCTCCGTGCCAGCACACGTGGGAAGGATCAGCAAACTCTAGATATTATTCACATTGATTTTATTATCAGAAGCCAACTTCAGCCATGTTAAGTGTAGAATGAACACACAAATAAAGAAAGTGAGCCTCTTGCCCTCCAGGAAAGAACTCACAGTGTATTTGTATATAACTAACAAAAAAATACGTGAACTCAGCGAGTTAAGGTACTAACCTGAGGCAAGGGGAACCCAGAGGAGGAGATGATTATGATCTGAGAGGTAGGGGCCAGATCCCAATAGGCTGTATCAAATCTGAGCCTTCAAACACTGACAGGTGGAAAGTAGGTTAATTCCAGGCACAAGGAGAAGCAAAGGCAAAGACAGATTTGAGAGCGAAAGTGAGCGACGGAGTTGAATCTAAAGAGCCTTCTCCCTCTCAGTGGGAGAAGATGGAAATGTTAGTTGGGGCCAAAATTTGGAGGCCTTGAATGCTGGGTTTGGGAATTTGGGCAACAGGAGAGCAGCCAAGAGCTTGAGCAGGTGAGGAATGGGATCTGTTACATCTGATTCCAAGGACAACACTCTGGTGGCAGGTGGAGTGGAAGCAGGAGAGGAGGTGGAGAGGTTACAAGATGCTGAGCTGGGTACAGAGGGGACCTAGACACAGCTCTTTCCTCAAGGTGCTCAGAGCTCACGGGGGAAATTAGACACACGCATGTCAACATCCAGGGAGGAGGGCCACACAGTAAAGCGACATCTACCTTCAGGGGATGCAGGGACAAAAAGGTTTTATTTCCTCATCTGCAAAATGGATTAATGGTAATGTATTTCCACCTCCAGACTGTATGATGATTAAATCACTTTAGGAAAGTAGTGTTTAACACGTGCCCAGAATACAGGCAAAGCCCCACGCGGTCCTACTCAAGCACACATTTTGGCCCTGGTCAGCCTCCAGGGTGGAAGAAGCTAACTGTGTGCTGTTTTACTGCACCAGGCAGAGGAATGGTGGGGGGCGGCAGGGAGGAGGATCAGGGGCTACGTGGGTGATGAGACTAGAGAGCAGGTTGGGTGTACCTATCAGGAAGACTGAGAGGAAGCAGGTGCCTCGGGCTTCTTTTATTTCCAGTTAATTTAGGAATTGATTCTTATCTCCCTCCCTTAGTCCCTTCTCCATGGTACATCTCCTTTTGCTCCTGCTGTGTGACCTGTGAC